GAGGATGGATCACGTACACTGACACATTTCCACGGAACAACAAAGTATCGTTGTTTATATTCTATTGTATTATACAGTATCTCACACTATTAAACTGCATCATATTTATTGAATCTTTACAAAGTGTTAATGCCAATAGTTGAGACTCTGAGTGCCTGCATCTGTTCCAAATCCACAGTTTAGATTAAATGTACCTGTAGGTGTATCCGGAGTATCCAGTGCATGCCAATACACCATGGTGGAGCCATCAGATTCATAAATCTATAAAAATTGATGTATAGGCAAATAAAAGGATGTAAAACACATACATAAATACTAAAAAACACACTCAATGACAGACTTCAGTTCAGACATAGAGGCTGCCAATGAACGCAGAGAAAGCAAAACTCACCTGGATGCCTTTCTGAGAGGTCACCACCAGCAGATCACGAGAGGGCAGAGCACAAAATGCAGCCTGAAAACAAGAAAACACAGGATTTGTTTATTTGTTTTTGTTTATGATGCATAATATGCCAGAGCAAAATACAAAATGAGCCAATGTTAAAAAAATACATATTGTTATCTTTGCCAGCAACTTATTGAATAATGTATTTCAGAGATTTCACATTGAGGGTGCAATGCATGGATCCCTAATTGCAAACAGTACAAGATGATCTGCCCTCTTTACACATAGTTCTCTAACTTTAGGACATGCAGTAGAGCAATACCTTAAATATACATAGACGACAAACAATACTTTGTTAGGGCCAGTGTTTCCCTGAATGTGTATCAGTCTGCAGATATATGTGGTGCCCTAATTTAGCCATCAATTTATCTCCCCTCAAATTGAGGAACTATACAAATGGGGTATCAATTCCTTGTTATGATCTCTCGCTGCAGATGTTGCATGGGGAGCTGCTGACCTGCATGATGAGCGATGTGCTTGTGGCGACATTTGGCTCCTTGGACTGCAGCTGACGGTGAGAATAGTTGAGGCCGTCCCAGGACGCGCTGACCATGTTCACCACGTTAGCATGGACCACCGTGAAGTAGGTGAGGCTCCTCGGGGCGATGCGCAGCACGCCGAGGTTGTTGTACAGCGCTGAGGCGCTGTTTTTGATCTGGATGCTCTTCTCTTTGTGATACATTGCACTTACTTCTCTTAGCAGCTCAGTTTAAACAAATGAGGAGACGATCCGTTGTAAATCTAACAGAATAATAAAAAAGGGGATCACATTCTGGTTTAATTTGATAAGAAGTTTCAGTTAAAACACAGCGTTGTTTGTAGCAATTGGCAGCACTAAGCATAGATGGCACTAAGCACTTATCATTAGCAGCAAGCTAACCTATGTTAGCTAAAAGCGATACAAAACATGCACTGTTTGCTTTCTGTGCTGCACTTACCCTTCCTTTTAGATTACGTTACAGTTGATCCAGCATTCATTGGATCTGTTGTAATTCACCATTACATAAAGTTGCCATAAACGAAGCACTTTTCTACCTCTTCTTGATAGCAACAGATTACCTCCGCGTCGTCCGCAGCCATAGATACAACGCCAGCTCTACGTAAAACGTCATCAGTGCGTCCTCGGTTGCCGAGCAACCGTACACTACACAAAAAAGGGGTACAAAAAAGAAGAGCGTATGGTAAGTTACTAAATAAACCTCGCATCGTAACGTTATAATGTTGATTATTTGCAAGCAGTAACTTGTGTATTATTATGCATTTTAACCGTGTGGCTATAAATAGCTTACCTTAAATACAATAACACTTTACAGCCCGCACTAGTACTATCAGCTCTGACTGAACTAACTGACAACAATTTTAGCTAGCTTGATGATGTATGACTTATTTTTGATAAATAATTAAATAAATAGTATTAAGAAATGTTCAACATATTTGACATGACGATTAAGATTTTGTTGACATAAACGGGGAAGGACTGTAAAACATTTCACAAAAATTAACTACACAAGCTAGTATTTACTTAGAAGATATCTTTAGATTGTGGCTCTCACACATTGTTGTCCACATTTGTTTTAGGATTTAAAATGCACGGAATTATTGATTTGTAATCAGGAGCATTGTATTGCTATGCAAATACAGTTCTGTAATGATTGATGGTATTATATTTGACATAAAAGTTCCCAAGATGAAATTAAACCTGTCGTGTTTGACTAACACCACCAGATGGCGCTAATGCCTACCAGCTGACATTTCACTGCAACATGCCAACTGATGTTCTTAATTTGTTGATTTTTTTCCCAAATAAATATATACTAAACTATAAGATATTGGGTTTTTGATTTTCTCTTCAAAGTTGTTTTTCCCCATAATTTGTGTTTCATGTTTCACACCAGCGTCTGAGCCACAATGCCCCGCTCTGCAGCCAAGTCCGCTGATAAGCGAACGCCTAAGCAGTCTATCCAAGTGAACACACCTCCAATAACTCCACCTCCAGCTCAGTCCCAATTGACGGACACGTTGAGCAAAAAGGATGCAGATGAGACAGTGGCAGAAGGCATGGAAGAGCTGAAGAGCAAAGCCATGGAAGGCTGTTTGCCACCTCTAACTCCAGCTCAGTCCCAATTGATGGACATGTTGAGCAAGGAGCACACAGATGAGACAGTGGATAAAATCATGGAAGAGCTGATGAGCAAGGTCATGGAAGGCTGTTTGAAAGTGGACATTGAAAGACAGGTAAAAGTGAAATGTGTATTTTGATTACCCAAACATGTGAACGTCTGCCTACTGAGCTAAACCAATGGACAGACCAATGAAAATATTGATTGTGTTGTCATCAATTTCATCCACACGTACATTTAGTACATTTAGTATTTATGATGTTGCATTTTGCCCTTAAGCTAGTACCTTTCACTGCATCCTGGGCCAAGAGCTACCTCACCAATATTCTGGAGAGGCAAATGTGCCCAGATGGTGGAGAAGAACCAGAGGAATCATTGAGAACAGAAGACTCAGAGCCTTTGCCAGCAACCCTAGATGCCTGGGTTCAAGGATGTGTGCCAATCGTAAGTGCTACCCCTCGAACATCCCCCTGCCTCACCACAGATTATGTTGTAAATCTATATCTGTTTATCCTAACAGGAGGCTGACATTGACCAGATTCCAGCACAAACAGAGCCAAAAGTCAACCAGGTGTGTAATGTTATGGCCCAAACAAACATCTCGCTAAAGCAATCTAAAAAAGAAACAACTCCCAGAAAACCTGTCATTAACAAAGTGCTTAGTCCTCGCCCCCCACCAAAAATGTATCTAAAGAAAAAGCAGCAGGTTCATTTGACTCCTAAACCTGTTGCGGGCAAGTTACTGCCACCCCTGCCCTATTCTGCAGGGAAAAAAGAAGTGGGTAAAGAGCGTGAAGACCGGACACATTCTGTTTGTAACTACTCGACTGAATCATTATATCAGCATAATAACAAGCAACCAACAACAAAACTTGATCCATCCAGCCTGCCTCGACACTGCATCTTTCCTCAGTATGAGATTATTGACGACAACCATAAAAAACCCAACAGCAAGAAAACAAGTGGGCTATCCAAACATGAACCAAGATATGTCAAGCAGCAGAGTGAGCAACTAAACCGTTCCAAGGATCAGCCAGCAAAGGGGAGAAATGAGGCAGACGTCTGGCTGAAGAAACTGCCTCCACAAGGAAAGGAAAGGATGGTCTCCTCTGGGCCTCTGAGGCTGGACACAATGGTTTTGGCAAAGGGAGTTTCTCTCGTGGATCCCCAGGCCGTTGAAATAAGCCCTCTCAGATGTAACCCTCCAACTCTTTCTACCAAGCTGAGGCCGATACAAAGTGTTGCAGCTGTGCCAATGTTTTCAGTTGATCAGTTTACCACAGGGCAACCACCTCGGGTTATCCCATTGCTCAAGTCCAAGAACCTTGACAACTAATAGAAAAACTAAGTGATACATGTTTGTGGTTGTATTTAGAGCATATGTAAATGGGGGAAAAAGTACTTGTATTACAAGAAAACGGTATGTTGCTGTAGGCTTATTTTTGAAAGATTCTGACTCTATTATTTATCCGTCTGTATTTGTTAGCAATTCTTCATTTGCAATGCAGTGGTGAAATGCACTGTGCACATGGAAACAACAGTACCTAATAATAATAATATTACATTTCATTTATATTGTTCTTTTTGAAGTACCAAAATACACTTTTTAAAATATATCCATTGACATTTCTATGATATTTGTATATTAAAGGAAAGCTTTGTGTTCTATAATTGCCTCCCACAGCATGCAAAGAAGATATACAACTACAACACTGTGATGCAAGTACATTTAAGCATGAGTTATTAAGACTGCAGGCTCTCTGTTTTCACTCTTTTCCATCTTGTCATATGCAAAGATAAACACTTACTGTGGAACCAGATTGTGTTTTAGCCACTTTTTTTACTGTTATCTAAAACTCAAAACAGTGATACATTTAAATATGTGTTGTGCATATGTAAAAACGAATTCATGCGTTGTGCCTTCATAAACATCTGCTGTTCATGACCCCTATTACAGGAGTTTCTACTATTTGGTTCATAACATTTGTATCACTGAAGGTAGGCTAATAAGATAAACACTTATTTGTATAATACCTACAGTTCAACAGCATTAACGAATGCATCCTCAAAACCATACTTTTTAATCAACAGATCCAATAAACACTTATACTTAACACTTATTAAGTCCATTTAAAAAAGTGGTGGGGACAAGTCATAATCATCTGCTGCCGTCAACATCTGCCACAGATCTGTAGGTATTGGATTCAGAAAATAACAACTTAAGTTAATATATAAATATAAATAAATAAGTGTTTTACCGCATGAGGTTTTATTTGTATTTAACTTTAGGTATCCCTGGACCCTGACACATCAGTGCCACAAGAAGACTGTTCATGCAACCTATCTTGTTGAAGCCGGAACGAGTCTCGACCACCCACGACATACAGTGAGCCAATCACATTTCACCCCGGCCACTCTTCCACCAATCAGCGGAATATTTTGCTATGTAGCATGTATGACTGACCCTGTGCACATGTGAGAGCGATATGAAGGGAAAGCAGTGTTGATCAAAACTTCAAAATACCGGATTTTTCCTCACATTGGAATCAGATCAGACATGAAAAATAAGCAACCTGTTGCCGACGACGCAGCAGAGGTAAGACTGCTGACATGTATTATGATTTTAGCTGCTAGGTGGCTAACTACCGCTTAGTTAACAAACGAGGCAGTTTACCTAGGGCTACACGGGTGCTGCTTGCATGCTTTTCCTACAAATGGGCAACTACGTTACATTGTTGAGACTTAATGTGCACTCTTTAATCATAGAAATGCAGTGCTTTCCGGTAAAGTAACACATACTAGAACAAACGCTTCAATAACTACTAGTTAGTAGGCCCAGTTTGTATTGTATACCCTGATTATGATGCCTTACTAGTTATACAATTCAAAGTTGGATAAAACCGAGCTGCTGTTGATGCCACTGCATTTTGTTGTTTTACAGATGATTCCCTCCGAGAGTCATGAGGAGCAGGAGAAAGAGGCTCCGTCTAAAGCTAAAAGGAGCAAACCCGAAGACGCTGGGGGGGAGGAGAGTGTGTATCATCCGGTGAAGCTGTCCCGGAGTGATCTGTACAAACCCCCCTCAGCAGAGGAGCTGAACCAGCTGAAAGAGGCAGAGAGTCTGTTTCACTGCAGCCTGCTGAAGATGCAGGTAAGACCTCTGACATGGACAGAGAATGAAGTTGTGACTTAAGGGAAGCCTGACAAACAATAACACACAACCTTGCTCACGCTTGTGGTAAAATGTCTATAATCTATCACCAATAACAGATGGAAGAGTTGCTGAAAGAGGTGGCCCTGAGTGAGCGCAAGAAACAGCAAATCGATTCTTTCATTCAGACAGTCACCAAGCTGATCCAGACTGTACCAGAATCACCAGAGGTTGAGGTATGTAGTATTTCAACTTTAAGAAAAGCTTCATGAAAAGGCAAAACTTCCCACACTTTAACCTGTGACCTTATTTATCTCTTAATCTCTCTATATATTCAGGTAAGTGACCTGTCATGGCTGTCCAGTGAAGTGAAGGTCCCTTTCCTCCTGGTGCCCAAAGCAACGAAGGGCAAGTTCCACATGGTGCCTCCTGCTTCTGTGGATCTGATCGGCAGCTACCCCCTGGGCACCTGCACCAAACCACGCATCAGGGTGGACCTGGCTGTCACTATCCCAGCTGTAAGTCTCCTGCCCCCTTTTATATTTTAATACATCACCTCAAGCCTTGAAAACAATGTGCTATTACCAAGTACTGAATGCAATATAACAATTGATTTATAATCAGGGGTGCACATAACCTTTTTAGTGAGTTACTCAGATGAGTACCAGGAGACAGTGTTTGGTACTCACCCCACACGAAGCATGGTCCTCCTCAGTGTCTCCTTCACTGTCCTCTATTTACACCTCTTGCATGCTAGATGATGAAGACGATGAAGATGCACCTCCCTGTCCCTGTTTAAGCCTCCGATTTGCTTTCTCCAAAACTTGTTGCCAAAACTGTGAAGTCCTTGCATTTCCTGAGGCCAAGTGGAAGGATCAAATACTAAGAAATTATAACATGACTTGAAGTCATATCTGATTTCAGATGTGGGAAGTTATTCTATTAAGTACACTTATTCAAGTACTGTACTTAAGTACAATTTTGAGATATTTGTACTTGACTTGACTTTGATGCTACTTTGTACTTCTACTCCACTACAGTTTAAAGGTAAATGGTGTACTTTTACTCCACTACATGTATTTAATACCAGTGTGCGAAAAAGCACACGTCCCACCGTCCGGGACATGTTATTTACAATATCGGACAAGTAGATCTTTCAATTGACTTGTCCGATGGACAAGTGACGTTTTTCGTCCTTATTTATTGACAAATTATTGATAAATTCAGCTTACAAAAGGCAGAACTCATTCGCAAATTGTCCGTGTCCGCCATTGTTGTGGTTTTGCTCGTCGATTCCTAAGGCATCTCGCCGCTTTCTGTACTGTTAGACGGGGGCGGGGCGGGACGTGTGGCACTGCCGTTGCTTCCCAACCCTGCCAATATGAGCAAAACTCGGTTCCGAGTAAGAACAAATAACAATTGTCCGGTACCGGGATTAATAAGAGTTGCTGGGCAGCTGCAGCATGTGTATTGCAGGACATGTTTTGGACTCTGTCTCACAGGCAGGTTGCAGTTTAACATCAGAGGAGACTGGGCCAATTGTACATTCTCAAACTGCACCACCAACTAAACAATTATTTTTTATATAATTGTATTCAAAAACCGTAAAAAAAATTAAACAGTATGAAGTGATTTGTAAATAGGAATACAGATTTGACTTAATGTTTTCATAAATATATTTTTCTCCCAGTTTGTCAGGGGACTTATTTTTACCCTCCCAAAGAACCAGAATCGAGAACCGGGAAAAAACGGAATCGAAAAGCATAACCGGAATCGTTAAAATCCAAAGGATACCCAACCCTATGTGTGATGCAGTAAAATCTTACCGTTCACTTACGTTAGCGGTGTCGTAAAAACCGTGGGAAAATGTAAAATACGATGCTGATCGATTTTTCTGGACAAGTGAAAAATGTATTCGGACAAGTAAATTGCCAAATTCACTTGTCCATGGATAGGTACTCTCTAAAAACTTTTTCTTACATTGAATACCTTTTTAGTTACTTTACAGATCTGGATTAATGATGTGAAATGATATTCAAGTCTAAAATCAGACTTTAGTTCCACCTGGAGTAAATTCACAAGCTACCCTGTCTACCCGGTCGTCAAGGGCCGGTGACGGCCGGCTTGATTCGCTGACGGCACCGACACCGGCCTTACTTTTTAATGTTTTTAAACCCCACCGTTGACAATTTGCGTGGGCTGGTCTGGGTGAGATTCCAGGGCTGTTTTTTAGTCGCAGTCCGCCCCTGCCTGCAGTATACAAAGTCATTAACACTAGCTGCACCTTTACCAGCTTTGTTAACACTTTAATGATCAATCATTATAAAACCTACCATATATATTATTCTGAAATGGAACAATCTGCACAATGACTACTTTTACTGTCGCTACTTTAACTATATTTTGATGATAATACTTTTGTACTTTTACTTGAGGAACATTTTGAATGCAGGACTTTTACTGTAACAGAGTATTCCTACACAAGATCTGAGTACTTCTTCCACCTCTGTCTGATTTCAAACTCTTAAATTAACACCCTGAGTAAGTTTGCAACTGTGTGTTTTACTCCACTTTGTTGTAAACGAAACTGCAGCAGCTTGACCACAGAGCGTGAGCGTTGTGATCAGCTGATTTTGCTCCAGTGTTTGCCCGGAGCACAGAATGTGCACAGGGGAGTCTCCCACTGCAGCCAGTTGGCGGAGTTTTGGCACAATTCTGTTGTTCATACCGACGTTAACCCTGTCTGTGCACACGGTGAACAACTCTGTTGTCTGGTGATCTAAGCCTCTGCCTCCTGTAAAGCTTCACAGGTCCGTCGGTTATGTCCTGCGCGGCTCGGCCAGCACCCAGTTACAGTACAATCAGTCATAGAAAGTCCGAAGATTTTTAGCAGGGAGCGAAACGGCAACATAGCTGCTTAATGTCTTTGTTTTCTTTTACATGTCTAGAAGTTTACTCCATTGAGTGTTTCTTGTCAACACTCAATGTAGACGAAATATGTGTTTTGTTTGGATGTTTTGAGGTACGCAAAGGCGCATAGTGACACAAGTGATGTCACGCAATTCAGATTTGTGCCGCGCATGCGTACCTGCGTACCACTTACTGTTTATAATATTAAAACAGAGACTGATTTTTTTTTCTGGTGCCTCGTCTTTTTGTTATTAGGATGTCCTCCATCCAAAGGATGTTGTGAACCAGAGGTATCCGAGGAAACGGGCACTCTACCTGGCAGGCCTGGCACAGTATCTCGCATCTTCCTCTGAAATTGGAACCATGCGTTATTCCTGTCTCCATGGCAATCGACTCCGACCCGTTTTGCTGCTGACACCTCCAGGTATTTCACTTTTGATTTCGTATAATTTATTTATTTACTGGAAGAGTTTAATTTCTGATTTCCTAATGTACACAATCCTTTAATCTCACAGTGTTTACAAGTTTGAGTTGTGATTGCTATATGTTATGTGTTGTCTGATATTTCAGGTAAAGACTCCTCCAGCTTCACTGTTAACGTCCATGCCTGTCCGCCTCCTGGATTCTTCAAGCCCAGCCGTTTCCACCCGCAGAAAAATAATATCCGGACAGAGTGGTACACTGGATTGCAGAACTCTCAGTCTGGTAAGATTGTTCATCTAAATCAGGGGTCTCCAAACTTTCTTCATCTGAGAGCTACTTTGAAAAAATGAAAGTGGCCAAGAGCTACTTGCATCACATCGCTTACATTTATTCACATAGCCCTCATCAGTTGAATTAAGCTATACCTTTGTACACGTGTGAAATTGCAATACCTAAAGCTTATCACAAATCTTAACTTCACATCAAGGTCCAAGAAAACGACAATTTCTCACACATTATTATGGCCCACATAGTGAGTACATCACTGAGAATTCACATACATGTCCTTAATCACCACCTGACAAGCATCTTATGGCACTTATGGTAAAATAAGTGCATTCACTCTTTTTTACAGTCAGTGAGATGAATGGCACTGCATGGAGTCCACCATAGGTGTAAGCTGAAGTGTACCTACCTAGGTTCACTCTAATAGTCATTTAAATGTTCATCAGTCAGTCTTGTTCTGTATTTAGATTTCATGTCAGAAAAAGCTGCTTCACAAAGGTCTGTAGAACAGAACCAAATGAAGCAGACATGTTCAGTGCTGCTTGTTGATGTTCTTATAGTTTTCTGGGTCTACAAGGCTCCAGAAATGTCGTGAGTTTTGCTGAGACTTAAACTGAACATGATTTTGGAGATTTATAACCTCCATCTCCATCTCCACAGGATTGACACTGAACAGTTCAGCCATCTTTTTCTTCTTCTTCTTCGTCTTGACATTAAATTATAAACCATAATAAATCAATTGTATAGGTCTAACCTCCCTATATCTGTGTGTGAAATTGCTCCATCCTCAAAAACAAGTATTTACAACAGCATTATAAAAACACACTTATTCTCTGTCTTACTGTTACATAAATCCAATGAATGTATGAGATTAAGTTAGCTTCATCATATCTCAATCAGTGATTAAGTGAATAATAAAGTTTCTATCGGGTCACTGTCAGCCTGTCACTCATTATTTTCAGGGAGGGGGCGGGGTTTGGTGGAACGGAGAGGATACAGTGATCGCGGGAGCTTTTTTCCTGCCTTCACAAACTTTACACAAGTATTTATCAACTGCAAATAGCAAGAGGACATTCATACTCTACAATCCAAGACTTGATTAAATCCACCAAAAACCTGACATGATGATAACGAGTGTTTTTCAAAAAACACAAATCCCTCCCTGTGTTTCTCTGAGCCGCAGAGACACGGCCTGATTCAGAGCGGGTCATTCTGCTGTTGGTTCTGGACTGGTGTTGGTGGAGAAAGCAGACTGCTCCGTGTGTGGTGTCGCTGTGCCGCTGTCACGTCTGTTCCTCACTGCGTCACCGACCAATTTTATATTCGTGTGACAGAAAAAATTCTAAAATCAAAAAATGTATTGTCCAGCCGCGGCCGAAAAATCAAGAAGCAACCTTACTACGCTATAATCGATAATCGAGCGGCGAGCTACTGAAAAGCTGCCCGCGAGCTACCGGTAGCTCGCGGGCAGCTTTTCAGTAGCTCAACGTGTTGGAGAGCCCTGATCTAAATATAATCAGCCATCACAATTTCACTGTCCCCTGCAATCACTCTTTCTCAGACAATGGTCATACATTATTTATGATTGCATTTTCAGCAACAATCCAAAATAAATATCATAATATTTGTTTTTCCTTTGTTGCAGAGGGCACCGAACCTCCCACCCCTCATTACAATAGCTCTGTTCTGGGGGATTTACTGCCCAGGCCGCACCTCCAGTTTCTTTCTGCTGTTGGCTCCCAGTGCTTCGCTTTTGCAGATGGGGTGGCTTTGCTCAAAGTCTGGCTTCGACAAAGAGAGCTCGACCAGGTAGGAGGCTTGAAAGGGTTCTCTGACTTGTTGAGAACTTTTTACATGTATTAGTATTCTTACACCAATTCTCTGACCTCACCTTTGTATTGCTCTCTTAATGTCTTATAGGGCACTGGTTGTTTCAATGGATTCCTGGCTTCAATGTTGTTGGCCTATTTGCTGAACAGTCGCAGAATCAGCAACTCCATGACAGCCTATCAGCTGCTTCGAAACAGCTTGAACTTCCTGGGTAAGACATTTTAAAACTCACTAAACATGATACACGTTATACAGTAGTTGGTCTTACAGCAATTAGCTCGTATTGCTGTTTTGAATATCTTGCGACTCACCCAACTCCTAATTCTAACCCTCAGCATCTACAGACCTGACAGTGAATGGAATAAGCCTCGCCAAAGATCCTGACTCTTCCGCTGTGAGTTGTATAAACCAGTGCATGTAGTTTAACCCACACTTTTTCTTAACTTCCTCAATTAATCATATTCGTTCCTATTCTTCTTTTTCCTACAGCCATCTATGGAAGAGTTCCACAATGTTTTCCAGGTGGTGTTTGTGGACCCTTCAGGACATCTCAACATGTGTGCTGACATGACTGCTTGTACCTACAAACAGGTGAATACTGTAAAAACAAATGTGTGTAGATCATTTTTACACTGGTGAGATTAAACGGCACTCTATTGACTATTTATAATTTGGTTTTCAGCTGCAGCATGAGGCATCTGTGTCGATGCAGTTCTGGGACAACCCCACGGTGGATGGGTTCCACAGCCTCCTCATGACCCCCAAACCCATGATAAGGACAAGCGACCATGTCTTCCAGTATGGATTTTTTTAACAAATCAAAATCCTGTCACTTTTCTATTTAATAAATGAGCAGTCTTTTTTACACATTCTCACACACGGACTACATTTTCCACGGTTTATCACATGTGTTTACTGTTTCTTTGTTGTATCTGTCTAAAGATAGTTCATACACCCTCCTATCACCTAATTATGGGTAATAATGTCGTTTTGGAAAAATACTGTTCGCTTTCATCACTAAAGTACGTTTTCTGGTCACATCATCTGTTTTGTGCTTTTCATCTGTTACTCAGGTTATGTGATCTGGTAAAGCTTCAGTCCAGCTGTAAGAAACTGGACCTCCTCAGTGAGTTGATGGACCACAGTGGAAATTATGTCCACGCTACGCTCCCCTTTATTCTGTCACTGCTGCAGCAAGGACTGGGCCAAAGGATCAGCCTCCTCACCCACTCCCTCTCTCCTGACCCTGAGGTGGGAAACATTTTAATTCAGGGTTTACCAATTTCTGGCTTTGGGAATTGATAAGATTTTATCAATAACAATTCCATTACAATGTTGTCTTATAGATCAGATTCTTCTTCAGCAGTAATACTACTACTTTTAACACTATGTTTTTGAACGTGCCTTACAATCATAAATCACTAAATGTGTTGAGCTTTGTTTTTGTTTTATTACAGTGGTCTGTGGAGAGTGAAGCCCCAAAACACAAAGCCCAACCTCCCCTCTGCTTCGGTTTGCTTTTAAAGCCGGAGCTGGCAGCCTCTGTCCTGGAGAGAGGCCCACCTGCAGACAGCCCTAAGGTAAGCCACCTGTCTCTGTTTTTTGTGCACGTTTTATTTTCCTAGATATCAAAAATGCTACAAAGGAGCCCATCTATATTAGTGTCTACTCTGTACTACATTGTACTTACCGTACAGTGTTTGATTACTGAAGACCTTACGAAAGTTTTCACATATACTAAATCTAGTATGTTTGTAAAAAAGATTATAAAGGAAAAAATGTTTTAGCATTCATAGACACAACTCAATTACTTATATTTTTGTGTGGCTAGAATATAAACTTATAAAAAAGCTTTTCTTATTGGGGGAAAAAGAGAAAAACTTGTCACATGATTGTATGGAATGAGTTCTTTCAAGTGGGTTGTCTTGTTTGTCAGTTTTTTTGTTTTTTAAAGTTGTTTTATTTTGTGTTGCAAGGCGTATGTTATGGTTAACAATAATAGTGTTTCTTCTGCTAGTCGGCTGAGTTCCGCCAGCTGTGGGGTTCTCGCTCCGAGCTGCGTCGCTTCCAGGACGGTGCCATCACTGAGGCAGTGCTATGGGATGGAAAGAGCATGTGCCAGAAACGACTGGTCCCCAGACAGATCATTACACACCTGTTACAGCTGTATGTATTTTATTTTTGCTTTACAGACTGAGAGACACAATACACATTTTGTTCTGTTAATAATACAGTGGTTAGTTTGGTCAGTGAGTTTCTAGCTGTATTGTAAATGCACATATCAAGAATGCTATCTTGGTACAAAGGAACAAACCAGTGCTTTTTTTCCTTCATTTATTTTACAATTGAGGTTTATCAGAATCAGAATACCTTTATTCGTCCCACAGAGGGGACATTTACATTTGTTACAGCAGAAAAAAGAGCCAAAGACAGCTAAAGATGGTTGTTTACCATGATTTGCTCCCCATCGACATCAGATAGCTTACACACCTTCCGGCGCAGACTGAAAACTCATCTCTTTCGACTCCACTTCGAGCGATAGAACTATTAACAAAGCACTTATATACTAATAAAGGACTGGCTTATCTAAAGCCAGCTGAGTAGCACTTGAAATGTTTTTGCTCTATGAAACCTGATGTACTTATATGATTCTGTTTTCTTCAAGTTTGTATTTTGTTGGTCGAACGCACTTATTGTAAGTCGCTTTGGATAAAAGCGTCAGCTAAATGTAATGTAATTTAAATGTAAGATTTAGATAGTTAGGTATTTGATTGCAGCTCAGCTCATTACAACTGTCGAGGGAAAAATATCTAACCATTTGTCGACTAAAGAAATTCATATGTTTAGCGTTGCTTGCGCCTACAAATATAACACATCAACTGTGGAAAAGTACCTACCAGCTTCTTTTCCCATACTCTTGAAACATCTAATCAAAGGGTCAACCTAACACTACCATACAGTAACTATTCTCTAACATGAATATAGGTTGTCATACAAGTTATGCATTTCTGTTTACAAAGATCATCATGTCAACATGCTCTGGGGCCAGTCTTGTACGCATTTTTGCAAATGTTTGCCCAGACTCTGACAATAAAGACGGCAGTGATACCCCGGGTACACACAAATAGTGTCTCGCCAGAGTAGCCAGTTTGGGGAATCTTGGTCCATTTACCTTCCACCAGTCAAGAGGGTTTATGTCCAAAGAGGGCGCAATGTCTCTCAAATAGTAATCGACCTGAGCCTCAGAGTCTGTGGCATAGGAGGAACTGTAGTTGTCTCCTAGGAGCAACATCATGGTGTTTTTGGTGTCACTTCTCAGTTGGGAGGGCATAGCTGCCTCCTGGCTGATATCAGGTGTGACCAGGATCTCTTGGTGTTCATCCTTTAGGCCCACAGTAGTAGTCATCACATCTAATTTTGCAACCAGTTCGTGCAGTTTCACCTTTGCCGACAGTCTTCCTGTTGGTGTCAGAAAGCTGAGATGTTTATGACGAGGGTCCAGCATAGCGGCAATCAGAGCTGGTTTGGAGGCGAGGCCATTCGAGTCAACCTGCGAACAATACAATTAAATTGATATAGTTATTTAAATGGAATGCAGATTGTTTATCATAATCAAATGTTGTTGTTAGTTAGCACTTGTTCTGCTAAAATGATTGCAAAATATATTTCAGTCAGTAAAATATGTTTTAGTTTATGCCTACCTCCATGTGATTTTGAAGTAGCTTTTGAACCTTCAGCTTGAACTCGGAGACTTGTTCCACATCGTTTTCTTTTGGCACCAGATGGGTCTGAATAAGGCTGAATGTGATCGGGTAGATGTTTGAAATGGACACTTCTGTCTCAGCAGATATCACTGTTGTCGCCCATTTCAGAGTTGCAAGCACAGGTGTGAAATTCTCAATTATTTGCCAGCAATCGTCTTCAATCTCAAGCATCTGGGCTTCCTGTCGGTTGGTGATTGTGCGATCAGAGAGCACCGCTTTAATTGGCCACCGTTGTTCCAGTAATCGTTCAAACATATCACAGATTGTGTCCCATCTAGCTTTGCTTGACTGGATAAGCTTGTGCTGTGGCAGACACATGTGAACTTGCTTTTGCTCCAAGGCTTCACATGCCTGCAAGTTGTGATTGAAGTGTTTGACTAGTTTCCCTGCGGAAACGATGATGCGGACCAAATCCTCACTCAGCCCAACACTGACTGCCAGCTGCAATGTAGTAGCAAAGCAAGTGGCATAGTCCCAGGTGACAGGGGGACACTCATGGGTGAACAGAATGCCTTGTGTGTCGTTATGAACACATGCAGTCACTTTCCCATCAATACCCCAGGTTTCCACAGTGTTAAAAAGCCTTTCTGTGACACTGTCTGCAGAGGTGTGGCTGTCGGATGATAGCTTGTGTGTCTGCAGCACAACTGACCTGCCCTGCCAGTCTTCTGTTATGAATGAACAGGAAACTGTAACATATCTCTGAAATGGGAGGGCTGTCCAGAAGTCAGCCGTGAGAGACACTTTCTCCACTTTACCAAGCTGCACTCGAAGCTCCTCTGCTTTCTCCCGGAAATGTCCTTCTATAAGGCGTACAATATCTTCAGCAGATGGCATTTTATAAGTATGCACAGTGTATGCAAGTAGCTCACGGAAACCATCACCTCTAAGCAGGCTGATGGGAAGCATGTCCTTCTCAATCATTCTGGAGATGAGCTCAGTCACCTCTGTGTGGGCTGCGACCGACACACCATCATTGGGCATAGAAGAAGAAGAACCTTTATTAATCCCCCGAGTGGGAGATGCAGTGCCTTGGTGGTTGTTTTTGATGTGGTACATCATGTTGGTGGTGCTGCTCCTGTACTTAAGCTTTGTGTCGCACATCGTACAGTGAACCTCGTCGTCCACTCTAACGAAAATGTCCCACACAGAGCTCCTCTTCGGGCGCCTCTTCACTCCGCAGTCACGCTCAGTGGGGTTTGCATTCATGATATTTATGTTGGGGGACATAATAGCTACCTGCATTATTTCCGAATTAGCGGTACTCTCCTCCTCGAGGCTCTGAACACGGCATATGACCGGTTTCTCGTCTTCGTCCAGCGGTGCGGTGGACGCATGGTGCCTGCTCATGTGGCTCATCATGGTGCTGGTGGCTCCTCCGCAGTACTTCAATGTAGCGTCACATTTCATGCAGCGGACAACCTTCCCCTCTTGTTCAAAGCAGTCCCACACAGAGCTCCGTCTCCTGGTCGCACGCTTCATTGTTTATTCAGTCAGAGGACTAATATCTGAAAATACATGGTTAGCAATGGTTAGCAAGCTAGCGTTAGCAAATTGTACGCCAACTCGCAAAATCGGTCTGTTGGCTAATAAAAAGCCAACATGCGACCAGTTTCACTTCGGCATTGCCCTAACAGATGTACAGTGAGGCGAATGTGTGTTTGAATTTCTTGCAACCTCGTTTTTATAAAGAAAATAATATACCTATGATCCACCAGGCATGCAGATATCCCCGAAAGTGCTATACGGTATGTGGGGGCGCTGTTGGATGACGTCATCAAAACAGGAAGTGAGGTAATCGTCTTTTCTTTAATGGCGAATCGCTTCCACTTGGAGCATAAACGCCACCTACTGTTGTTTTATTTAATGTTCATACTAAATCCTTGTCCTCAGACCAGTATTTTTGAGGAACTTGAAGATCAGCTTGTTTACTTCTTTTCTTGATTTACTTTCGTATATTGCCTTGAAATCCATGTCCTTGATGTTAAAAGTTAATGCCAAATCGTTTAGGCTTAGACAACACATAAAATATAAAACGATTGTGTTATTCATTAAAAACATGCAGAATTGAGTTTTTAATTTGTTGTGCTATGTTTATCCAAAAAGAAGATCCTGCATCTTTTTTAAATGCTATTTGTATTTAATTAAGTATGGTTAATTACATTTAGTAGTTTTTGTTCTTGTTGGAACATACATTTAATTAATGGTGTATTACATGTGCATTTTTGAGTTTCTTGCTTACTTATTTAAATGGTCTAGTCCACCAGATGGGAGATTGTTGTTGCTGTTTCTTCTTATAGTATTAATCATGTGTGTGTGTGTATGTATGCATATATATATATATATATATATATATATATATATATATATGTATATATACATCAAGTTACTGACGTGTATTGTATTCTGCAGTTACTGACGTGTATTGTATTCTGCAGGTGCCTAGTACTGGAGAGGAGGAGAGTTTACTGGTTGTTCAGTCCTATGATGACCTGAGTAGAAAACTGTGGAGGCTGGAAGGTCTGCCTCTCTCCATCACAGCAGTGCAAGGAGCCCACCCTGCACTCAGATACACACAGGTAAAGCTCTTGTTCTTGACATCATACTGCTTTTATTACTGTAGTAGTAGTGAAAGTTAAGTAATTTCTCCTAATTTGAATTAATATTATAAATTGTGACTTTGACGTTAGGACCGCTCCAACATTTCATTTGTGCCTTGCAGGTCTTTCCTCCTGTGCCACTCAAGATGGACTATTCCTTCTTTGACAAAGAAAAGACTTCCAGATCATTGGTGCCAAAAGAAGGCAAACCCTGCCCTGCTTACATCACCCCTATCACAGGTAAACGCCTACCACTACTAGCAAATACTTAGGAGTTTTAACTCTTGTTTCAGTTTAAAACTACATCTAACTTATTATTATTTTTCGTGTATTGTATTCATTTCTGTAATTTACCTGCTATGTGACAACCATGTATTCAAAGTAGGAATACCCATAGGTCCTTAACCACAGATATTAAGCTATTGGAACTCATGTTGATATGCAAACTAATATCATTGGTAACCCTGCTTTTGCAGTGATCTGTCACATGGAGGGGAGTGGAAAGTGGCCACATGACCGCTTAGCCATTCGCCACATCCGAACCGCCTTCCACATCCGCATGGGAGAGTTACTCAAGAAGCACCATAATTATACATGCAAGCCCTGCCCTACACACCTAGATGTCTGGAAGGTATATTTTTGAGTTTGTGTACAGGTTGCGCACTTATCTGTAATTTGACTGTGGTTTTTGTTTTGAGGAATCTAATTATATGTTTGTGTTATGTCTAGGAAAGTTGTTGTTTTTTACGTATTCATTTATCGATGCTAGCTAATTCAAATATTTGTATGCATCCAGGATGGCTTGGTGTTCCGCATCCAGGTTGCTTACCATCGGGAGCCTCAAGTGCTGAGGGAGAGTGTGAATGCCGTGGGGCTGCTGGTTGTTAGGGACAACGAGAAGGCTCAGGCTCTGGAGATGGCCACAAATCACAAGCCGATACTCACCAGCACATTGCATGGGTAAAACTAAAACAGTGACACAAAGCAATATCCGTGTGTTTGTTTTGGAAAGCAGGGTTGTTGTGCTCTTACAGGTTACCACACTATTTTCAACCTTACATGTTGCTGATATAATAACACATGATACATTTTTATTGATTCTAAATGTTCACTTTAGTCAACCTTTGGTCAACATATTTTTGCCTCTTTCCTATTTTATTTAGCTTGCTCTGCATGCACAATTATCTCATTTTGTTTTGCTCCATCTTATACATATCATCTTGGTCTCGTTAGTCTCCAGCAGGAGCACCCGTGTTTCGGGGCAGTGTGTCGCTTGGCCAAGCGTTGGCTGGGGGCTCAGCTCTTCAGTGAAGACATCACAGAGGACACAGCAGACCTGCTGGTGGCGTCCCTCTTCCTGCAGCCCGCACCCTTTACTCCTCCTGGGTAACTACCAGTTCTACTTTTTAATAAATTGTCAAACTCATTAGTGGACACATTGTTTTGTCACTTCTCTTTGTTCGTTCAGTAGGTCATGTCAATATATTTCTGTCTCCCTCAGTTCTCCTCAGGTTGGCTTCCTTCGTTTCCTTAATCTGCTCGCCTCCTTTGACTGGAGGAACAACCCGCTGATAGTCAACCTCAACAACCAGCTTGCAGGCAAGCTCTCACACCCCCTTTCCCTCGGTGTCACGCAAACAAATACACCTCTGACCTCTTTTTATATACACACTGAAAGAACGCAATGTTAAATTGTTGTACACCTCTCTGTCACGTGCAGTCTCCGACTACACAGAGATCAAGAATGACTTCATGGCCTCCAGGGAGTCTCTGCCTGTCATGTTTATAGCTACGCCTAAAGAGACGAAACAATCCATGTGGACCAAGAAAGGACCCACTGTACAGGTCAGTGGAACAAAATACAAGCACTCAACACTCGCTCAACAACACATTTAATAGAATAGGACTCAACTGAATTTGAAAAATGCTTATTGCAGAAGAAAAGATCGAATCAAATAATAATATGCAATGAAATAGATCACAAGTTTATAGATTTTTTACCCTGTTTGTTTTATGTTGTAACCCACAGAGAATCACAAACAACGGTGTAGAAAAGAGTTTCATGTTCTAGGCAGATAGCAGTCACATAGTTTCCCGATCCTTGAGCCTTTTCTGAGTGCACACTGGTCTCCTGGATCACACTGAAAATATATAACACCAAAATAAATTGTTTAACTGAAAGATAATAAACACTTTTGAAACGGACTGAATAGGTTGATTTAAGTGATTTAGATCATTGCAAATGGACTGATTTGTTACATTACATACCACAGACAGATAGCCATGCTTTTTTCTTAGAGCTGGAAATTGATTGTTCTGTAGTCTTTCCAAAACTCCATGTAAATCAATGATCTGAAAAGGCAGAAATGTTATGAATTACTTGAAGGAATTTGAGAATATCAGCAGAACATCAAATAAGAAACAACATTTTGAAGAATTTTGACTAGCACCTTGTGCTTTGGGAGACTATCAGGTGTAGCTCACCAGTTGCCTTTCATTGCTGTCCTCTGTCGTGGTGAAATAAGTGAAGTGTTTGGTTTTGCATCCCCCTGTTTGGCTGTAGAAGAGTCCAGTGGCATACAGTACTGAACAGAAAAGGGTAACACGGCAGCTTCCCATCGTGCGTAGTTGACCCAGATAAACTTCCTGTGCTATAGCACCTCACTCCCTCTGCAAGCCCAACATTAACACTGAGCCTCCCCCAGCATCCTCCTTTTATACCGGTGGCGGAGAACAGGAACTTTGTGCTCTGTGACGTCCTGACAGAGATGTCATTATTTACTCCTCACAATGCACAGGATCATTTCAATTTTACTTTATTTGGTGGCACAGGGTGCATAAATCAGCGCTTGTTGAATAAACAAGAGACCTTCAAGGACTAGCACACATTTAAATCGTTTTAAAACAAATAGCTGGGTCGAGTGAATGATCCTGGCTCATTGTGTTATTATTGTTGTCTCAATACCTCTGAATGGCCACTAGGGAGCAGGAGGTGATGGTAAACATAACGGCCCAATTCCAAACCACACCCTAGCCACTCCCCTCGTCTGTAGTCACACTCGCAGCTTAATGAGGCTCCCTTCTTCCAGGTGGAGGGAGTAAATACAGCGGCAAGCTTTGGGATGAACTCCCCTCTCCAGCTGAAACAGGGAATGCCATAATACGTAACAACGGTTTCAAATTAGCATCTCTTGGATTAAAAATAACAAAAATAAAACTCTAAAAATCTTTTATGGCATATATTTTTTGTAAACATATTTTTGTCTTAAAATCTGATGTTTATAAGCCGCCTAGTTTTAGCAAAAGTCCGTGTAAACCTTTACCGTTTTTTAGACTAGACATGAGTAACTTATTCTAAGTTTAAACAAATACGAGGTAACCATGAAGTTGTTAACATCTGTATGAAGATATGAAATAGCTCTTGTTGTGCAGTCTATCAATGAATGTTTCCACGGAAATATTTGTAAACACAAACAGCGTTGAGTCCGGTCAGGTAGTACAGCAGCGGCCGGATTTTAGCTTAGCGAGCTAACTTCAGGGAAAACTCTGGGTTTCCGGTCCTACGACGCTGGTTCACTTCTTACCAGAGGTGGGAGTAAGTCCTACATGTGCAAGTCATGAGCAAGTCTCAAGTCTTGACCTACAAGTATCAAGCAAGTCCCAAGTCACTGATGAGAGTCAAGCAAGTCAAGTCATTGCTCAGGTCAAGCAAGTCAAGTCAAGTCATACGAAATTCTGATGAATAAGCCCAGTTTCCGCATTTAAATTAGTTAAAAGACAGTGGTTATGAACATGGATTCAACCCACACTATGATCTTCATTACATACACAGCTTTAATCATTTGAAATCTAATTTAGACCGATGACAATCATATTAGATTCATATTAACCCTAGAACTGCAGACAATATAGCTAGGACTCAATCAAAAAGTCTGTTCAAAAAGGCAGAATTCCAGGTAAGAAAATCATACATGGCATTTGCCATTACACATATTTAATTTAAATTTCTGTTAACACTAGAACCGCCAACAGCGTCAGTACATAGATATCATTTTCAAATCATTTAATTTGTTCCTCTTCATAATTTCCTTATAAACTAAGTAGGACGATTTAAATTGGGTTAATTTAGAAATTGCTTCAGTTTATCATCATAACAGATCAAAAAGTTCAGATTAATTTTACAATAAATCAAGGAATGATGCACTTCTACAAACAAAAACAACATAATTAAAACATTTAAACAAACTACTAAAAGTAGATGAACTACATTATTCAAAAGTTTACAGTAACTTCTGATAATAACACAGGGGAAATAAACGAGGCATCTCTCTCTCTCTCTCTCTCTCTCTCTCTCTCTCTCTCTCTCCTCTCTCTCTCTCTCCTCTCTCTCTCTCTCTCTCTCTCTCTCTCTCTCTCTCTCTCTCTGTCTCTCTGTTTTGTCTTCTCGTTGCAATGCTTAAAGAGCATCTTGCAGGTTTTTTTTTTTTTTCTACATTTATGCTTAAATTTGCTTGAAAATTACAATAAAAAAAAAAAAGTGAATGTAGGATTTGATATGTTTTACGAGACATAAGGGCAGGAATTCAGAGGGAAAAGAGCAATTTTGAGCTCTGCTCTTAAAAACGGCTTTTTTTTAAGGTCATACGTCAAACGCGTCATATTACATCACAAAGGGTAAACATCTCCGCTCTCTGACCGCGGGTATAGTGTGGATTTGCATTAGGTAACGCGAGATACGGCTGATACTTGCGCATTAGTTTCTGTTATGGATCAGTATCAACAGTCCTGCCAGTAACGTTACTATATTATCAATGCTACTTTAGTTATAGCCTGATATATGATAGCTAACTTCACAATGTTGTGATGTGACGTTAGCTAACATTCTGTAGCTAACGCCGGTCACTCACCAAGATAGCTGCCCCTTCCCTGCTCTCTCTCTCCCCCTCCGGTACAGCTCCGAAGGTAGTGTGGAGTTGCCCCTGCTTCCCTGCTCTCTCTCCCCCTCCGGTACAGCACCGTAACGTAGTGTGGATTTGCATTAGGTAACGCGAGATACGGCTGATACTTGCGCATTAGTTTCTGTTATGGATCAGTATCAACAGTCCTGCCATTAACGCTACTATATTATCAATGCTACTTTAGTTATAGCCTGATATATGATAGCTAACTTCACAATGTTGTGATGTGACGTTAGCTAACATTCTGTAGCTAACGCCGGTCACTCACCAAGATAGCTGCCCCTTCCCTGCTCTCTCTCTCCCCTCCGGTACAGCTCCGAAGGTAGTGTGGAGTTGCCCCTGCTTCCCTGCTCTCTCTCCCCCTCCGGTACAGCACCGTAACGTAGTGTGGATTTGCATTAGGTAACGCGAGATACGGCTGATACTTGCGCATTAGTTTCTGTTATGGATCAGTATCAACAGTCCTGCCATTAACGCTACTATATTATCAATGCTACTTTAGTTATAGCCTGATATATGATAGCTAACTTCACAATGTTGTAATGTGAAGTTAGCTAACATTCTGTAGCTAACGCCGGTCATTCACCAAGATAGCTGCCCAGTTCTCCACTGGTTCTCCTCACACCACAGCTCAATTTCTCTCCGATGGCCGTTATTTCTTCTAATCCTTGGCTGCTCCTGGTCTCTTGGACGCCTAGCAGGCTCATAATTATAAGGTTGTGGTCCGTCATATGCATTCGAATATTCATGTTCAACTTCTTCTGTGTCTTCTGTGACGAAACTAGCATTGGGATCCATGTTTATTAATACGTTACACCGGCCGTTCTCCCCCTTGTTTACCCTTTGTTACGTCACACGCGGGAGGTCACGTGCCGAGGCTTTTTTATGCGGAAGTGAACATTTCTTACAAAAACGACGCCAGATGTCACTGTAGTGTATATTTCTGTATATTTTTTGGAAAATCTAGTGTATTCATCATTTTCCTACACATTTATTCAAAGGTGTCTTTAACCTGGAAGTTGCTCTTTAATCGATTTGAAACCAAGTCTAACGTAGCTTAAACGTAACGTTAGCTTTCTAGCTAACACAACACATGCACGTAGCCTACCTTTCTCTGCGGGTTTTTTTGTTGTGACGAATGAAGTTGGATGTTGTGGTGGTCGTGTCACTGATCTTTATGCTGCAGACCCTGCATACCACTGTTCTCTTCTTATTACCTTATTACTTCTAAACTTCACTATTTTTGGAGTAAAGCTAGCCGCTGCCATATTAACTGACACTCCTGCCTTCTAGTGGGTTGCCAGGTTTGCGCGCATGGCGCTATAATCACCCAATCACGTTTTTCGAAAAAACTAAACGTAATATCTCACTACAAAAACAAACGCAAATATTTAATTTTAAACAGTCAAGTCCTTTCAAGTCATCTGTCTCAAGCTTAAGTCAAGTCTCAAGTCATGAATGCCAAGTCAAAGTCAAGTATTTTATCAATGTTAGTCAAGCAAGTCTCAAGTAAAAAAATATGCGACTCGAGTCTGACTCGAGTCAAGTCATGTGACTCGAGTCCCCACCTCTGCTTCTTACCGGGCTAGATCTCCATGGTAACTTATACTGAACGGCTAACCTGCTCCGGAGCAGCAACTCAGTGAAAGCACCGCCTGCTGACCAATCAGAGCTCAGTGTGCAGAGTTTAAAGCTATCGAGTCATATCACAGGATAAAGCAAATACAGAAAAATTGCCGTTGCAGGAAAGACGGCCGGCAAAAATCAACTGACTGTGAACGTGAAAATTAATAGAATATCACCTCCCATCTTCAGAGCAATCTGATTATTATAACATTAGCGTTAAGAAAGCTTATTTAAATATCTGCCACAACATAAGTAACCGGATCAAACATTACGTACAGTTCGCGGCACTGTGAGTGTAGACTTCGATGTGTCACATTATCATTCATATCACATCATAATGTATCATATCAGCTTCTTGAGCCGTATCTGGCCGTGCAACACTTACAGTGTCACATACTGTATGCAGAAGTATTATTTTAAGCAACACATTAAAGGTGGGGTAGGTAAGTTTGAGAAACCGGCTCGAGATACACTTTTTGTTATATTCCATGGAATGCTCTTAAGATCCCGATAACAATGAATATCTTGTGCTTTGACAAAAAATCCATAAAAAAATGTCATCTGTGGAAGCCATAGTATTGTAAAAAGCACGACCAATCATTTTAGCCGGCCCGGCTAAAATAACTGGATGGCCTACCTGCCTGTCAGCCTTCCATCTGTGCACAAACTTATCTCGTGCCCTCATTGGTCATGTGCGCGTTCGTGTGTGTTGGAGGAGGGGCTCTGTAAGGAAGTGGCAGATTTTTCCCGGTTGTGTATTTTCAAATTCTAGCGCACTCGAGCTGGTTTCTCCAACATTACCTACCCCACCTTTAAGTTGACGAAACACTCGAGTCAAATGTAATTTAAAGTCAGATCCACAGTGATATCATAAACCTGTTAATGTACGCATTCAAACACTTTATTTTTACCAGCTGTATTCACCTTTTATCCTGGATAAAGTGTTTTAAGTCATGGATGTTTAACTTCTTCATTTGTCTAATATTATAGTTCACTTTTCATTCAGGAAATGAATGCTGCGCTGTCAGTCTCCATGTTTGTGATTGGTCAAATGTTGCTAACCCCGCCCCTTTCATGTGAACGCGCACTCAGTCGGACAGAGAAACCCTGGCTTGAGTTACCGAGTTGATAACCAGCGTCGTAGGACCGCTTAGCGAGAGCGTGTTTGTTTTGGATTAGGTAAGCCGGGTAACTCAAACATATCCAGGGTATGTTGAACTGGATTCGTAGTACAGGCCTCTGGTGAAGTCAGGACCAATGCAGACTCGCTGTTTGAGGGCTTGATAACCCACTACCCCTTCACACTCGTTGGTTTGGAACAGCACTTAATGTGGCAGACCCTCCGCGAATGGAGGGGTAGTGTGTAGGGGGCGGTGTGGAATTGGGCCAAGATTTGAGTTCCTTTTCACAAAGATCATTATTGATTTAAAAATTGCATTTAACATTTCCATGATAAATGATAATGGGTAAGAATCTCGTTAACTGTAAACCAAAAAACAAACACTATTTTGTACAAGTTCTTCTTGTAAAAGTCATGACTAGTTTAAACGTTGGAAAAAATGGGTTATAGGAAACCCTTTCAGTAGGAAGAAAGTTGCTTTAACTAATTAAATACCTTTTACCAAAGCCTAAGGAGATTAAGGCATAACATTTGCTAAAAATAGTGCAAATGGAATAATAGTGACGTCAAATTTCATAAAGAACATTTATTGGACAACTTCATGCATTGATTTTATATTGTCAAAAATGACAAAAACAAGAATCTTCAAACATTTTGCAGGTGTATAGATTTACTTGAGAGCCATAAATATTAGATCCAATATAAGACACGGATCAATGTCTAGCCCATATTCAGGTTAGCCCTGTACCCACATTCATTTACTTCAAGTCAGAAACACTGGCACATGACCTTAGACTAACTTGTTTGGTTCCAGCTGTAAATGTAAGTACGTTTTTGCACTGATACAAAAAACATATGGGTGTACTTTCATCATACGTGTTGACAAAATACACTAGGCGGCTCCTTGTAATACAACAATTGCTGGAAATCGCTCTATATAATGTTGTTCATGTTGTTATTGTCTTTTTTCGTGTCTGGAATTGCTGTTTGTATTTTCTGTGCCCTGTGAAAGTGGCTATTGAAAATGCCAGTGCTGATGTTACATTACATTATTACATGTTACTTGTTAGATGCTTTTATCCAAAGCGACTGACATACTCAATACTGTGGGCAATCCCCACAGGAGCAATTTGGGGTGAAGTGTCTTGCCCAGGGACACAACGACATGCTGACTGCAGTGGGGTTTGAACCTGTGCTCCCCTGATCCGAACACCAACGCACTAGTCCACTGCCTCCCCATGATGTATAGCTTTAAAACCACAAATGAAGGGTTATATATTACATGATATGACCTTTCAGAATATCTTCAGTGAATACGAAATGCTCCCGAGTGTAACCATAATAGTGTTGTATTTTGTGTGTGTCTTCAGATGCTACAGCGTGTCGTGATGGTGGCAGCAGAGAGTCTTAAATTACTGGAACATCAGTTGATGGACAGCAACCAGACACAAGATGTCAGGGTGAGTAGAAAGCAGTTAAAGTGTCTCATTTACTATTATCTTCATGAATATCCTACTATCGGAATGAATTCGGTTAGAATATTTCAGCCTTGTGATGCATTCGTCTGTGATTGTGCAGGTGGTCATGCGCCCTCCGCTGGATGCTTACGACGTGCTGATTCAGCTGAACCCCAAGCAGGTTCCCCTGCTCGTTCAGGCAGTGGACCCCCCGACTGTCACCTTCAGCAGGGGCGCCATCGCCGGCAGTGCGGGCCAGACTGGAGGGGCCCTGCCTGTCGTGGACTACAACCCTGTGACCCTCTACTTGGCAGAGCTCAGAGTGAGTGTTGTCTGTCGGGGATAATCTTGTGTTAAAAAGGATGTGTGGTGGTAATGAGGCCTCTTTGACACGGGATGTGGAAGCTATGCAGCAGGATTTGCTCATGCAAGTTGCAGCTAGGCTATTCAGGAACAAAGTCAATTCTTTGTGACATCCAGCAGCTTCCTGACATTAAAAATGAAATTCAGAGAAGAGAAATACCAAGAGGGTTCTTACATTGTTCACAAAACAGATAGATTTCCTAAAAACAAAGTCAGCAACTTCTTCAGATTGTTTTTCAACTTGTCCTTACACTCTGGTGCACCATTAAGCATGTTTAATGGCCAGGGTCTTGCCTTGTTGTCGAGTAATCTGAACAAATAGGGCCTCTCCCTTTCCTTATTTCTGCTTTTTCTCCAATGATAGTGTGATAAATAGGACACAGGCTATGTTATGACGCTAAGACATATCTTCTTTTTTTTTTGCAGTGTATGAAAAAGTCTACACTTACACTTAATAATGATGAATCATGCAATCAATCCTAGAGTTAATAACACGACCACTTTAAGCAGAAGTTAAAGTAAACTTGATATCTGCTCGCCTTCTTACTGGGAAGAGACGTTATGACAACATCACACCCGTTTTGGCAGATCTTCATTGGCTTCCTGTCAGTTACAGGATCCAGTTCAAGTACACTGAACAAAAATATAAATGCAACACTTTTGTTTTTGCTCCCATTTTTCATGAGATGAACTCAAAGATCTAAAACATTTTCTATAAACACAAAATAACCATTTCTCTCAAATATTGTTCACAAATCTGAAAAAATCTGTGATAGTGAGCACTTCTCTTTTGCCGAGATAATCCATCCCACCTCACAGGTGTGGAATATCAAGATGCTGATTAGACAGCATGATGATTGCACAGGTGTGCCTTAGGCTGGCCACAATAAAAGGCCACTCTAAAATGTTCAGTTTTATCACACAGCACAATGCCACAGATGTCGCAAGTTTTGAGGGAGCGTGCAATTGGCATGCTGACAGCAGGAATGTCCACCAGAGCTGTTGCCCGTGAATTGAATGTTCATTTCTCTACCATAAGCCGTCTCCAAAGGCGTTTCAGAGAATTTGGCAGTACATCCAACCGGCCTCACAACCGCAGACCACGTGTAACCACACCAGCCCAGGACCTCCACATCCAGCATGTTCACTTCCAAGATCGTCTGAGACCAGCCACTCGGACAGCTGCTGCAACAATCGGTTTGCATAAACAAAGAATTTCTGCACAAATTGTCAGAAACCGTCTCAGGGAAGCTCATCTGCATGCTCGTCGTCCTCATCGGGGTCTCGACCTGACTCCGGTTCATCGTCGTAACCGACTTGAGTGGGCAAATGCTCACATTCGATGGCGTCTGGCACGTTGGAGAGGTGTTCTCTTCACGGATGAATCCCGGTTTTCACTGTTCAGGGCAGATGGCAGACAGCGTGTGTGGCGTCGTGTGGGTGAGCGGTTTTCTGATGTCAATGTTGTGAATCGAGTGGCCCATGGTGGTGGTGGGGTTATGGTATGGGCAGGCGTATGTTATGGACGACGAACACAGGTGCATTTTATTGATGGCATTGTGAATGCACAGAGATACCGTGACGAGATCCTGAGGTCCATTGTTGTGCCATTCATCCACGACCACCTCATGTTGCAGCATGATAATGCACGGCCCCATGTTGCAAGGATCTGTACACAATTCCTGGAGGCTGAAAACATCCCAGTTCTTGCATGGCCAGCATACTCACCGGACATGTCACCCATTGAGCATGTTTGGGATGCTCTGGATCGGCGTATACGACAGCGTGTTCCAGTTCCTGCCAATATCCAGCAACTTGGCACAGCCATTGAAGAGGAGTGGACCAACATTCCACAGGCCACAATCAACAACCTGATCAACTCTATGCGAAGGAGATGTGTTGCACTGCGTGAGGCAAATGGTGGTCACACCAGATACTGACTGGTTTTCGGACCCCCCCAGACCCCCCCAATAAAGCAAAACTGCACGTTTCAGAGTGGCCTTTTATTGTGGCCAGCCTAAGGCACACCTGTGCAATAATCATGCTGTCTAATCAGCATCTTGATATGCCACACCTGTGAGGTGGGATGGATTATCTCGGCAAAGGAGAAGTGCTCACTATCACAGATTTTTTCAGATTTGTGAACAATATTTGAGAGAAATGGTTATTTTGTGTATATAGAAAATGTTTTAGATCTTTGAGTTCATCTCATGAAAAATGGGAGCAAAAACAAAAGTGTTGCATTTATATTTTTGTTCAGTGTACTTACTTGTTGTTTTTAAATCATTGCATGGACTGGCACCACACTGTCTGAGTTGTTGCACCCCCATGCCCCTGCTAGAGCATTGCGATCAGCTCAGCAAAATATGTTGGTGGTTCCTCGGTGCAGGAAAAAAACCCGAGGTGACAGGGCTTTCAGTGTTGCAGTTCCCAGACTCTGGAACAGCCTCACAGTACATATCCGGACTGCTGAGTCTATTGAACTTTTTAAATCTCAGCTAAAAACTCACCTCTTTGCACTGGCGTTTAACACTAGTTGAACATTACATTTTTACATTTGTATGTGTTTTTTATATGTTTTCTAGTTATTTCTATGTTATCATGTTTTTAATTATTGTTTTATTATTGTACTCCCATTGTGTTATTAGGGCCCGAGCACGGAGTGCTAGGACCCAACGGCGTCCTAGCACGAAGTGCGAGGATACCTATTTGTTATTGGTGGTATTATTATTTTTTTTAGTCGCCATCTTTCCTGTTTTTGAGGCCTTTAGGACGCTGACAAAGTTGTATAATTTTGCACAGATTCCAGAATCGGTGAAAATTACAATATTCTGGACTCAATTTGTTAAAATATTCCAACATGCTCGCTAGCGCCACCTATCTCAATTCCATTTCGGAAAAATTCACAAAGTCGCACCGTAACTCCGAATGACCTGACATTTTGCAAACATATCCGGGTGGACCTGCTCTACAAATAATCCAATTGGAACCCTAAGCTCCGCCTACATTTTTTTTTTTAAATTGGCATAATTTACATACACAGTTAAATATTCACTTACATTTAAATGTTCAGTTTATCAACACCAAACTTCGTATACAGCATCGGTGGAGGGTCCGACACATTACCCTAGGAGATGAGCATGTTCAAACGATAAATATTTCCGCCATGAATTAAAACGTACTCGCAAAAAGGCGGGGCTTAGAAAGAAATGCTCATAATTCATCAACAATGTATCCAAACATCACAGATTTTGGTGGAAACGTTCAGTCTGTCTTGGGGAATAGGCACACCAAAGCATTTTCATTTTGTACTATAGGTGGCGCCAAAAACACCACCAATTTATAACTCAAGAGCGGATGGACTAATCTTTTTTTTTTTTTTTTTTACACATACTCTCTGGGCGACTACGAACTTAGATTCAAAGTGTCGAAACAAATGCAGAATGTGGGCGTCGCCTATACATTATTTTTAAATTGTGATAGCATAAAATGAGCTTCGAACGCAAAACTTTGGACACACGTCAGAGCCCAGGACCTTTTCGAGAATGTAAAAAAAAAAACGTACATTTTCAAAAAAACTGCTCACTAGCGCCCCCTATTGTGTGGTAGTCACATATAGTTTCTCAGAACTTCACGAATTTTGGCACAGACATTTCTCATGGAATTGCGGATATATTTGTAAATACATTCCATTAGCCCCGCCTCCCAGAAAGTCGGCCATTTTGAAAAATGTGCGTTTTTCAGCCATTTTACGCACGTTCTTGCGAACTCCTCCTAGGGGAATGATCGTAAAAATTCCAATGCAGGACAGGTTTAGCCCCTATCCAATATGATACTTAATTGAGGAGCACATTTTTGAAAAATCACTCGTGGAGGTCGTAAGCTAACAGCGAATACACCATTTGACGATTTACATGGCGCAAATTACTCCAAACTGCTCGCATATAGTTTTTCCGATATTCACGAAACGCTGTATACACATTACTATTATGATTGCACACATATTTCAAATTGCCTTCCATTAGCCCCGCCCCCCAGGAAGTCGGCCATTTTGAAAAATGTGCGTTTTTTAGCCATTTTACGCACGTTCTTGCAAACTCCTCCTAGGGGAATGATCAGAAAAATTCCAATGCAGGACAGGTTTAGCCCCTATCCAATTGGCAGGGTTCGTACGGGTGCTTGAAATCCTTGAAAATGCTTGAAATTTGACGTGGTGTTTTCAAGGTTGGGAAAGTGCTTGAATTTTGGGAATGGTGCTTGAAATTGAGATAAAGTGCTTGAAAATGTAAATGCTTTACTTTTACAATAAATTGCTGTCTGACTGAATAGTTCGCTTTTTAGATTAAAAGAAAAGAATTGCTTCGCTTCTACATAAAACAGCTCCGCTGCGGCCTTCCCGCGCTATGCGCGCGACCTGCAAGTGTTTGTGTTACGTGTGACCTGGGCATTCTGATGAGTGATAGATGACTGTGTGCCAGGAGGTTGCCGTTTCAACGAGCGTTGGCTAGCAGAAGACAAATACAAGCCATGGCTAAGACGAGGGTCAAGCCCACGAGTAGCCTCCTGCAAAGTTTGCAAAAATAATGATGCGAGAGTCTGCGCTGACGAGCCACATGAAAGGTACGCCGTAGAAGAGCATTTTAGATTAGGCTAACGTTGCATGTTATGTTTGTTTAAGCTAACGTTAGCTAGGTGAATAGCGAACTCGATTGAGGGATAATAATAATTGCAGGGGACAATCATTTCAGAGGAGCGTACCTATGTTATGTGCGTTACAGTCGCCATCGTGTGGTGTTCAGAGGATGAAGCACTCACGGCATTTCGTGTTATAGTCACAAAATATAATCTATTAATTCGACACAGAGCGATTTTGAAAGCAATGTATTTCTACTGGTAGTATGTTCCGTACCTAAACCAAATGTGACTTGCTCTCTCGAAATCAGTCACATTGACCCTGTT